GTGCGTACGTGCGTGTGTGCGTGCGCGTGTGTATAATGTGAGTGAATGTGTATGTACGGGTGTGGGTTTATACGTGAGTGAGTGCGTGCGAGTACGTGTGGTTAAATGATTTTTAAGTGTAGGCCCTACCTTGTCACTATACTTGTATAGAAAGTGTTTGTGTTGTGCAGCGTTGTTTTGTACTGTATTACCGGAAACTTTTTATTGAAAAAGACCGTCTCCAGTACATGTATTTGTATTTGAATTACGTGCAATAAAGAGTTAATAATAATAATAATAATGTATTACCGGAAACTTTTCATTGAAAAAGACCGTCTTCAGTACATGTATTTGTATTTGAATTACGTGCAATGAAGAGTTAATAATAATAATAATAATAATATAATAATAATAATAGTAACATATAAATAGCGGCACTACTACACAACGTACGCGACCGACTGCCCAAATATCCCATAGGATTATTATCATGGTTATAACTCAAACATTATTTTCAATAATAATAATATAAATACCAGTAAATAGTAAGGTCCAAACAATCACGATCCCCTCTAAAATATCGCAATAGTCGCGATTTATTTGCGTTAAATATCAATATTGCGGCAGGCAGGCGGCATGACAACAACAACAACATCAACGCGTTTTGTGATATATCACTCGAGCCGCATGCCGCACGACCACGCGGCTTCAGACAAATGGCGCCGCGGCGTCTGTGAAGATAACGATGGAAGCTCATTCGCTGATTGCACTCGTTCGCCGCCAGGCCGCGCGCATACATCTTGCGACGTGCTGTCTCGCGTAATTTATTCGCTAACTCGGTCGCCGTTCGCGCCCACGACAGGATCAATAGGACCCAGGTGTTTCTCATAATGCAGGCAGCGGAAATCACCGTCTTTTGCATTGAAACCTGTAATATTAATCGGCGCAGTGGCGCACGGAGAGAAGGACGGCCGGCTCCGTAATGGGCGAAACCATGCAAAGTCACCGTCGACCATAATTTCAGAAGCGGTAATTTAATAGAGGGCACCGCGAACAGCCACGCCGAGGTAGTAGTTAGCAGTGAACCACCGAGCATGTACGGTATCGGCAAGCAGGCGTGGCGCTGACAGTTGCGAGCGA